GAAAAGGTTAGAAGCGTTCGAAATGTGGTGTTATAGGCGGATGATGAGGATAACGTGGGTAGAAAAGGTTAGAAATGAAGAGATATTGGATAGAATAGGAGAACAGAGGACTCTATGGAAGTCAATAAAAAATAGGCGAGATAGGTTGGTAGGACACCTTGGTAGAGGCAGAAACAGGAGTTAAGAGGGGTAGAGATAGACCTAGATTAGTTTACTGTTCGCAAATAGTTAAGGATGTGGGCTGTTCCAGTTTTAGGGAAATGCGAAGTTTAGCTCAGGATAAGAAAGAGTGGAGGTACGTGTCCAATCAGTCTTAGCCTGACGACCTTATGATGATGATGATGATTAAACATACGGCAATACTACAAGGTGTTACCTACTTAGTATGTTATTTTAAGAATATTTTGTCCTTTGATGTTTTCTGGAAAGCTGCTTTAATTCAAAGATACAAAACGATAAATATTTTTCGGCAAAACCGTACTATACACAGAGAAAACTAAATTTTTATGAAAACGCAAAAATTGCAATTTTCGATTGTAAATGACTGAATCTGCCGTGGAAATAGTAGAATTTATTAGGTAACTTGAAATAATTACAATTTTGACTTGTTTTTTAAAAAATTATTTCAAGTTTCTTAAGTATTACAATTGAATATGTAATATCAACCAAAATACCTAGAAAATTTATTTCTGCTGGAATTCTATTTTTACAAATTCGGGTCCAAATTGTAATTTTTATTATTTTCGCTTACGAAGCAATGGGCTAGTGGGATAAGTTGTAAATATCGCTTTAATGTTTAGGTAAATTTTCCTTTTTAATTTTCTCCGTGTAGATACTGAGTTTCTCATAAGCGCAATAAGGAGATTTTTACAAAAAACATAATATAAGACGGAAGAAAATCTATATGAGATACTTGAAGATAGTTTTTAATATCAGTTTTTGTTGACCGCTTGAGTTAGAGTTGTACCAGTGAGATAATCAAAGCTTTTTAGAACAAGGTAGGTTTGAACGCTTATTAGTGGTAACCATTTGCAACAATTGTTGTAGACTACCATAATAATTATCGGCCTCTATCTTCGAAATAAAACAGCTTTCTAAAAATTATCAGAGAACAAAATATTTTTATAAACATCATAAAATTGTTAAGCGCTGTATATTGGTCAGAGTGATACAAGTATTATAAGCATACAAATGTGTAAACGAGCAGGAACCAAAGATACAAGAATATAGGGACCGAATATAAAGTAGCGGGGAGTTGGTTATTAAAGAAAAACGTTGAAGTAGCAGGTGCCTAAATTCTATTGGCTACCAGTACTACGCATGCGATAGAGGTAGATAGAGGTGCAGTCAATAAAATATAGACACCAGCGAATGGGCAGCCGCCATCATCCCCCAAAAAGATTTACTGCCCTCGTCTATAATTATACATTATTATGTTCTCTTCCTCTACTCTTACGTCTAAAAGCTCTTCGAGTAATTTAAATGGTAACCAAAAATTTTTAATCAAAATTTGGTGTTGATTTTCCTTCTTTGTTTTTAGCAACGTACAGATTCGTCATCCATATATATATTATATTAGGCACTGTTAAATTACTCTATTTCATCAAAGGGATAAAGATGAAGTAACGAATGCATGCCAACTAACTAGAAGTGTAACTAAAATTCCATAGTGTAATATGTCTGTATGAGTATCTAATATCTAAATGCATACATGTTCGTGCGTACAAATACGTAGTACTTAAATGTGGATGTATTGGAAGTACATCACATATGTATGTACATACATGTGTATTCACATGCATCTTTGCAAACTCAAAGAAACTAAAAATAAAATGTCATAGGGTGCATAACCAGACATGGCGAGTGGTACTACTCTTTTTACTATTTGTAAACTATCTTTGTTTCCTGGAAGAGATCCAAGGGAATGTATTTATTTTAGGAATAAGTCACTGGGAAGGCTCGTCTAACGTTGTAAATTACAATGATAATGAATAACATAATCTTACACTAATCCGTCAAAAATAAATTGAGCATTTAAAGACGATATTAATTACATTCGACACTCACACACATTAATACATTTAGGATTAGTTTTAACAATTTGCACCAAAAATTAAATTAATTTTCTCTTATATTAAATTATACTATCCCTGCACGAAAACAGGCTTTCTCAATCTTTTCCGAAAATAGGATCTAATTAAATCGAATGTTCGGCCGAAAACACCCTTGCTTACTAAATTTCATCAAGATATTTAAGGTCGTTTTCGAGAAATCAATTACGTACTGTATACACAAGTATTATATTATAGGGTACACATTATGAAAGCACTTTTATCAGTTTTATTACTAATGAGGAAAATATGAATATACATTAAAAAGTACAACCTGCTACTGGGTGAGTACTTTCATAAAATTTTTAATTAAAGAATACGTATAACAGATATAAAGAAAATTCTAGTAAATTGCTCTTTCTTCTGTATAGTTCTAGAACGAATATAAAGATAGGAGACGAAAAATGTGAAGAAGTGGCTGATTTTAGGTATCTAGGAAGAAAAGATTAAGATAAGTCAGGACGGAAGGAATAGTAGGGATAAAAGAAAGTCACTTTTAGGATTGTGAAAGGTTAATTTAGAAATTCGAAAAAGATTGTTAAAGGTATGTTTGAAGCACGGCGCTGTACGGATGCGAAACATGGACGGTGGGCGCGACGGAAAAGAAAAGGTTAAAAGCGTTCGAAATGTGGTGTTACAGGCGAATGAGGATGCCATGGATAATAGGAAAACATAGGACTCTATTAAAGTCAATATCCAACCAGTCTTAGAACTGAAGACCTTATGGTGATGATATAGTTCTGTCCATATTTTTTACATTTCTGAGAATAAGTACAATTTTAAAAAAGAAGTTACGAAATCTTCAAGATTATCTATCTCGCGAATATCTTACGCTCTACAGGGTGGGTTGGAACAAATTTATTTAAACGTAAGGGGTTTGTTTTTTTTTGTTTTTTTTGAAAAAATTTCAAACTCGTCTGTCTTTGTTTTTGGCTGCGGGTGGCTCAAAAATTAGCGATTACCACCGTCTTCATTTTTTCAAATAGAAATAATTTGAAGTATGTTTCATGTATTTAGACCACAAAAATACATAATACCCAGATTAACTGCGGTTTTTCCCAAATGCTTACAACCCAAATATATCAGCAGATTCGGTTTATCCTAAACAGGATTGATCACCCCTATTCGCGAATTGTACGGAATTTCTTACAATATCTCTCTAAATAGATGGATGGGAAGGATAGGCGTTATTGAATAGTCAGCAAGGTCTGCAAACCTGAGCCCATTGGATTTTTATCTATGGGGTCATTTAAAATCTAAAATCAACTTCAATAAACTGGAAAATATTCGAAAATAGATGCTTCCATTTGAGAAAATAATGTCGGTGGTAGCCGCTTATTTTTGGCCCACTCTGTATCCATACATGAATTTACCATGAAAAAACCCGCAGCCAAAAATAATGATCGACCTGCCCGAGCGTTCTTCCAAAAAACAACAACAACAAACCCCTGAATTTTAAATGAATTTCTTCCAACCCACTCGTCCTCACTGTACATATAAGCAAGATTCCTTTTATAGCTTCATACAGCAAACTTAAATTGAAGAAGGGATTTTTAACAAGGTTTCGACTAACTCGGACTTCTATCTAAAAAACAGCAAAGCAGAGACACAGTACGTGTAGTTTTATTGCATGCAGCTCAACGAGCTTTGCCTTGGACCACTTCCAATTTCGAAGCAATACATCCAACAGCATCATCACGTCACCACGGATACGGTAAACATCAGATTCTACTGCGACAAAAGAAGTAAAGAAAAAGTTCTCGTCTAATTTTATTGTTGTCGTAATGTTTGTAAATAATGGCCTTGAAAATGATTAACGGAAGGCATTTTTTTAAAATCTGTTATCACGATAAGAAAATGCGGAAATGATACAAGTCTCTGCGGTTTATAAGTCCGGTTGGACTTCGCGTAATAAATAAAACTAGATGTAAAATTAACTAATTTAAATACGATAATCCATCAGTTCGTAACATTTACAGATGTGCAAAATTGTTTTTTAAAAGTATTTAAATATAAAATGAAAATACTTTTTTGATTTGTTATTTCAAATAAATTTACTTTTAAATGCTAAATGCAAAATACGTATTTTCAAAATACTTTTTTGTAGATCCTACTTAATTTTCTGCATTTACTTAAGTATATAACAACAAATAATTCTTCCGTATACTTCCTTATTTACCTTTCTCATCCGTTTTAATTGGAAAAAAGACACTGATGCCAAAATAGTTTGTTTACCTTGAAAGATCAGAGCCAAAATAGGGTTGCAAATAATTTTCTTGATGTAAAACCAAATCAATCATTTTATATCAAAATATTTACAACCGCATTTTGTTTCCGATCTTTCACACATTGTAATAAGAGAAAGAAATGGAATCCACAGTTTCTTTAGCTTTAGGTTCATCTAACAAGTGAAGTTTTTCGAATCGTTTTCTAAGAATTTTGGATTATACGCATTTATTAGCACACCACAATATCTTGTAGTTTTCAGTATTACACAGCTGATGCATATCAATTCGATATTGTTTTGCGGGCTGTTTTGTCGTAATTTATAGAATTTCGTAGTTCCCTGCTAAAGGTACGATAAGTAGTGATTTGACAAGTGCTCATATCAATTTGGAACTTCAAAATTCCATGGACCATGACATTGAAAATACAAAATGCTTTTCTCAAAAGAGTATTTAAATGAAAAATAAAAATAGGTATTTTTTATTGTGTATTTGCATTTTAAATGCAAGTTTTTCAAATAAATCACATCTCTGGTAACGTTATTGTAATACGTTTAAAATAACCCCTTCGTATGCATGTGTTGGAATATCTATTAGAAGAGACATTTCTACATGTTCAATTCGTTATAAAAGTTATACCTAAAAAATGGTTTCAATGACTCACCATCAATCGTCACAAATCGTTGCTTTGTACAATCCTATTTCACACACACTTAACATTTCACACAATTCACTTTAGTCCCCGAAATATCTCATTAATTAACTTATTTCGCATACATTTAACTAACCGTTTTAATCGTTCTAACAAGAGTATTTTAACGTTTAATAAAATTTAACCAACACGTTAAGAAGTCGAAACTATAACTAATACTGAGAATAGGAGTAAACATGTTGACTTGAACGAACGAGCTTTTCTCGATAAGACATTTTTTGCTGGTGCCTTAGCCCAACAAAAAACCCACCTGTATCTGTTTTTATACACGAATGAATGCGATAAAGACTGAAGGTGACTAGAGGACGTTTAGAATGCTTTAAAATGGTCTGTTTTATACATAATATGATGCATGGTTAAAATAAACGATATAATTTCCATTAAAATAATTTTCCAATATTAAAAGCGTTATCATGTTACCAACAATGATAAAGTAATAAAATTTTTACATACAGTTACGTATCCATATGCATAACGTACAGAAACTTTGAAGACTAAAATTTGTACATATGAAAGATACAGTTTTCATCACAAAAAATTAATAACGATAAAATTTGTTATCAAATTATTACAAACATTAATAGAAAACAACAGCTTTTTAGGTAGAGCAAAAATACTCTTCTGAAGCAATGTCCGAACAGAGTTGTAATTTTGATCATGATAATAAATTTAATAACAATTAATTATTATTCAAGTTTTGTTATTTTCTTTAGTTAGGTGGTTATTATTGGAATTACAATAATTTTTGATTTATTAAATTTCTAATTACCAATCTAAGATATTATGCCTAAAATAAAATCAGAAAAAAAATAGAAGAATAGTTTTTAATGTATACATATATTTCGGACCATGTTGTATATAAACAGCCCCTTCTAACGATATGAAATGTGCCTACAGGTGAAAAACGAATTGAAGGTGAAGCGGGGGTGTGCACGTTTGTTAGGGGTGCCCACTGAAGAGTTTATATTTCATTAAAATTTTTGCAGCGATTAATAACCAAAATTAATAATTTCTACAGATCACTACACATAGCTAATCATCAATTAATAGCAAGAAAGAATTGCTAGTACAAATACCGTTAATTCATATTTCAATTTTGTAACTCCCGATTCTATTTTGAAAAAAACTGACCAGAAATTAATCTCATGAGCTTATAGATTAAAAGAAAAATATGATACAGCTTTATCTGAAGGTATAACATCCAATATAATCATTATAAAAATGTTATCAAACAGGACATAAAAGAAGAGAAAATACGTAACATTTTAAAATTAGTCAAATATTTGTTATTTGGTTACCACATATACTGGAATGTAGTTTGTCGAATATATCTTTTGTATATATATTATACTTCAAAAGCGACCCATTGAAATCCTATTCAAAGATATCCTTTCTAATAATTTCTCCAATAATATTAGATGACGCATCTCGATGGACAAATTCAATTAGTAATTTTTTTTCTTACGGAAATTCTAGACTTAATGGAGATCGTGTTTGAATTAATTTAGTCGACAAAGGAAAGGTTTGCACCCTTTAGGGAGAATATTTTGAATGTGTTTATGGTTTATAATAGAATAATAGTTGTATTATTTGATTCCATTGTCTTATTAATAAAGTTTATAAATAGAGATGCTGGGAGAGTTTTGGGGGTTGGAGGGCCCCAAATCTTATGTAGTTCAACTTTAACATTACAAAGTCTACAATATTTCGTACTTCGACGGTCAATATATATACATGCCACGTTACAGACATAAATACATTCTTGGCATGCAACATTCGACAAGGAAGAAGGGTGGTAAAGCCCTTTTAATTAAAAATAATGGATTCTATTCGTTCCTTAATAATAAAAAGCCACGAGGGATGAGATTGATGGGGTGCCAATTGCTCTGCACCTCGAAAGACATTAATCAATTTCTTATCGGGCCCGGTGCCTACCGACTTTTTTAAACCAAGGATAGTGGATTCACCACCGCTCCGACTCGAACATGGAGATAAATTGCGAAAATGTTAAAATGATACCTAAATAAAAAACGTCCTGATTTCATTCTGATATTTTTACCCTTTCATCGCAAAATCGTTGACCCAGTTAAATAATGTCGAAACGTGAATAACTTTTTTTTCCCTTCTCTTCATTCGATTTAGCTGGTGGCCTTGTTAATTTTTATAAAAGCCGCAATAAAAGCTATAATGAATCAACGTTGAAGCCACGGGAAATGGTGTAACTTTTCAGGCTTTTGAAAATAATGAGAAGAGAGGTTCGGGGGTAAGTTAATTAACAGTTTTATTACTGATTGCTGCCTTGAATAATGAGACGTTTATTTTTTTCAACTTCTAATAGACTTCAGTAAACGAAATTCTACGTATAAAGTAGAGACGGGCCGTATATCCGGCTTTGATCCGTTACCCGACGGATCCGGCACTTTTTTTTAATCCGGCTGGGCACCGGATAATAGCGCTGAATATCCGGCAGTGTCGAGTAATTCTACAAAAAGGTAAAAGCAGGTACCAGTAATAATAATGTCACATGTATGTAAGCAACCTAGCATACATAGTGGCGAAGAAGATCGTATTTCAAGAAGGAATACACTGGATCATTCTAGAACATCACCAGCCTCTATAAATAGTTGTCGCGAGATCGATTTAGTAGTACGAGTTCGAGTTGTTGATACAATGCGAAGAAGTGACCAAAGTGTTCATATAGTAGTGAATTGATAACTAATTAATAGTATAATTGTTAATTAGACAACTCCAATTACTACCTGAAGTCATTAGTGTAACTGAAGACGAAGAAATATCGATACTATTTTACTATATATTAGTAATTAATACTTTTAATAGTATAGCGTAGATGTGTACTCTAGAAAGTTTAAATAATAACTTTCTTGTCGAAAATCTTTTATCACCCTGCACACTTTCAAAAAAACTACAACGTGTAATTATGCAACACGCTACTGAAGTGAAACTTCTTCAAACACACAAACACACCGAGATAGGGGTTAAGGAATTGGTTTAATGGCATTATTTGTACACTATGAATTTAAATTTTACATCCGACATGACAATTTGACATCCGTTGCATGATTTCGTTACATAGCAACTCGCATGAAACGAACTTTTCAAAAAATATTTTTAACATTTCCTTCAAGTTTTACTGTATAATTAATAAGCGCTCTGCAGATTTGTTTAGAACATTAAACTAGGGTGGTGATATATAAGCCAACTAATCAAGTGACTTATATAGGTAATAAAGAAATCTTTATATAACCTTTAACTTAATCAAAGGCATAATCATTAAAATTTATGTGTAGATCAGACCTTTACCTTCCCGATAATAATACGATCACATATTCACTCATTTTTTAAAGAAAAACTTCGATTACATATTTAAATAAACTTAATCTAGGCAAGAGGGCATACTATGCATAATAATCGATAAAATCTCACTATTGATGTCTGTATTAAGAATAAAGTGGCTTAACTCCTGGCAGCGTCATGTTTGAAGAAGGAAATTTAAATTTCAAATAAGGCTTTCAAGACGCGGGTTGAAAAATTTACATTGTTTTCGTACTAGACCTTCTTGTATCAAAAAATTATGCAGCAAGCAACAAAATAAAGGCAGATTATAGAAATTTGCATCATCCTACAAGAAGTGCTCATTTTATCAGTAGCAGTCTGCAAAATTTATATAGAGCTATTCAATCGCATCTTTATGTAGACGCCAACCCTGAGCACGAGCCCGGTTTTAACCCTGTTCTTTCTCTATCCCAAATTATTCATGACAATAATCAAGACCTCCTCAAAAGGATTTAAACTGTTCTTGAGTTAAAAAGGTAGTCTTCGTTTTACGCAATAGCCACTGTAACTGTAACAATACCCAAACCTACATTACAAAAAAAAACGGAAAGACAGATACACGAGTGATCCTGTAAGGGTTCCGTTTTTCATTGGAACGTGCGGAACCCTAACCCAATACCAAACTTAACATTATAGTTGTAGTTCTCCCAGATTTACCAAGTTATGTTCAGACCGTAGGCTTCTTATTAATTTTCCCATAATCTATAGGTAAAAAAACATTCTCTGTATTTTTTTTTTCAAATTTTAGGTTCAGTAGTTTCGGAGATAAGTAAGGGTGGGAGGAATGGTCAATTTTCATCTATTTCCTTAAACAACTTGAAAACCATATATTATAAAATCATAAAAAAAATATATTTGATACCCATACAACAAACTCTTTCATTTAATATGTCACACGGTACAGTTTGTAAAACAATTTTTTTTTATTTTCTTTGACCCCCCAAAAATGATCCCCATGTTCAAAATTAGTCTATTTACTTTATTCGCCCGTGTTTGGGTTACAGAAACTGATATCTTTGCTAAATTTAAGTTCAATAGGTCCAGTAGATTCAGAGCAAATTAAGGGTTCCCTTATTCATTTGGACCTACGAAACCCTAAAAATTATAAATGCTTATATTGAAAAGTTTTTCCCATTATAGCAAGTAGCAAATCTAAGCATACTAATCTTTTGCCCTTGCACATCTATCCCTACAGTTGTACTGTCTTTAATGATGTTGATGGCCTCTTCGATGTATAGATTAAAAAGTAGCGATGACAGCGTGCATCCCTGCCTGACTCCCTTCCTAATATTTACTTCTCTACGTTGCATCCCCAGCTCTATAACTGCCTTGCTCTTTATAGAAACAGAAAAATCGTATACGAGATAATACGGGAACAAAGTACGGAACCCTTTCCCGGGGTGGCAATTTATACCAGGTTGGGAAAGCTATACTTTTTTCCTTTGGTGCGTAGTACTTACAGTTTTCTTAATACCTAGCAATTAATAGCACACTTAAATAAACTTAATTAGTAAACGCATGATAAAAAAACGTGTAAAATATAAACAGGTCTTTTGTAGTGCAACTAGGAATTATCCTGATTAATAGGTAACGACGTCGGGGCAACGCGAAAATTACCCTGCAACAACATGCTTTTCATGTCAAGTTTAATGCGCGATTGTACGCTTGGGGTTAAATTAAAGGCTATTAGATGGTTTCGTTCTCTGGGGCTTTTGAAACATAATATAAGTTGAAACATGAACCGTGCAAACAAGCAAACGTAATACGGAATTTATCCGGGAAATTGAAATGGGAACCTATTGAAACCTTTTCACTGAATTTACCTATGCTTTAAATTTGACAAAGGGAAGTATCTTTGATAGAAGTTTTGACAGCGTTCACA